AAAGCACAAAGAATGAAGAATATTCAAAATCAGAGATGGCGACTGACGTTGCATTTTAATTTTTGGAAGATTATAGTCATCTGTTATGTAAGTAAGCGAAATGTGGGAAGTGTGAGAAAAGAAACTGCTGGTGTAGAATAGGTGGTTGCATTTCACTATTTGAACAGTTGAACCTAGATGCCAATATGGTAGCACGATGAAATTCATATAGTCGGGTCACCAATGATAAAAGCTCGTCAGAGTACTTGCCATGAAAATATTTGCAGAAAAAACAGCGGGAAACTACATCAGGTCTATAAGAAAGTGACTGAAGTCGTATAAAAAATCCCTTTTGATTGTTTACACCTATAAAATTTTAGGTAGACATGGATATGTAGTGAGTTTATAGCTCTTTCCAAAAACTAAGTGGTACCTCATCGTGATATCACCGTAAAGAAGCAGGACTTCAACAGGGCACTGGGGTCTGCATGACATTGCAGGCTGGTGATTTGAAGGGGTTATGAATTGGATAATAATTATTAAAATTAACAGGAATGAAAGTTGAATGGTTGGTGATTAAATGAAAAAAGAAACCTGTTAAACATTTTGTTTTAAAATAATATGATAAATTTAAGAACAGTTCCAAGGAGAATCGAACCAAGAATTAAGTAGCAGAAAAAAACAAAGTTTCCAGTCCTATCCAATTCTCACTGATAAGAAGAAAACATGATTAATGTGTTGTCAGAATTTCTTTGGTCCTGAAAAATCACCGTATATTGTGATGTACAAGTCGAGTTTTCAAGCCTAAAACATCTTTGCAAAAGTAGGGGACGCTTATAATGCATGTGTAACATGAAAACCTTTACACCCGTATTATAAAAAAAGTTGCACAGCACTCCGAGTAATTACTGTACACTACTTACCGTACTCCCAGCAAACTGCCACAAATATATCCCACTAAAACCTGTGAACCTATTTGGCATAACAACACAGAATTTAGTATAAATTATAAAATAGTAACACAAATTCAGTATTCGATTAACGCTACCACACGTATAGCGATCAACAACTGATACACTAAATGTAAACATTGCCCAAATCTCCATTTAACTCAGGCGGCCATTATGACCATCAGGAATATTATGCTTGTATCTGCGCAATTTCATGATGACAGTTTAATTACACATAATGTGTTTATCAGTTGAATTTTAAATGATCGCTAAGCTATACCGATACAATATACGATACGTGTGAGTTGGGTTGTTTGCTAAACAACGCATATAGAGATATTAGGGTTAGTGTCTCATGTAGTTTGAGCACATCTTATACAGGTAGGCCTGCATTTTAAACCACTGGTAGCCTACTGCATGTTCTGGAGTCGACCTCTAAGACAGGTATATAATTAACTATAACCTATAAGCCTAAAATCTTGATGTCAACTTTTATGTCAGGTCGACTTGTACGCCGCAATTTACAATAAATTTCGAGGTTTGTTTACATTATATTATCTGTCCAAAAACGTGTATGTTCTTACAAAACTGATAGACACAAGTTATTCTTGACAAAGAAAAGTTAATCTGTTTTTTATCTACTTCCCAGACTTAAGATTTGCATGTGTTGATACTGTTTGACCCAGAACACCAGTATTTTTAGAGAAAGATGTCTAAAAGACAAAAGCGAAATGGTTCATAACAGATCTTCTAAGATTATGTTGAACCTGGTGGAGAAATTAGATATATTAATGTCAAATCTTTTTTCGGTGAAGTTGTCTATATAAATGAGAGCTCACCTGGAGATAGATCCATTAGGATGTCGGCTCGGCGATGCCTGATACTGTACTGTAAGCCGTCGCTAAGGAAATACCCGCAATTCTCATGGCTAGAGCGAAAACACAAACACACATATGACAGAGGAATTGAGAGGATGATCGGTATTACTCAACAAGGTTAGCGGTTCTAGTGACTGAAGAAGAATAGGGCAGAGAGAGATGGGAGAAAGATGGCGCGTGTAGAATTGGTTTAGATTAAAAATTTCCAACCAAAGTTTTTTTTTTAATACCTGCGGAGATAACTCGTATAAGTTAATTGTTTCTAATTCCTTTGTTCTTGCCATGTTCTTTGTGTGTCTCCATTATTCTCGAATATATGACGTCTTTGCACTACGAAAACAACGGTGATTAAAATGTAATCTAATGAATATCTTGTGTGACAGGAATTGTTTTATGAAATATTCTAAAAAAAAAATGATTAATTGCTTTGTAAAGACTACCGATTTATAAAATTTATTATTTATTTAAAGAAAAATTGATTGTTTAAAAAACATGTTTGTTTAGTAATTCTTTACTTTAATTATATTTGTTTTTAATAGCTGATTTATTTGTTTCTAAAAATGGATTGATTGATTAGATATACGTAATAATTCGCCTATAAATGATGAAGTTATTAATTTTTCAAAAAAATATTTCTAAGAAGTATGTTTACCAAGAATTTAGAGTAAGTTAAATGTATTCTTTTTTAATGTTCTAGAAGAAAGAAAAAAAAGGAAGGAAAGGAAAAGAAGGAAGGAAAGGAAGGAAAAGAAAGGAAGGAAAGGAAAAGAAGGAAGGAAAGGAAAGTAAGGAAAGGAAAAGAAGGAAGGAAAGGAAAGGAAGGAAAAGAAAGGAAGGAAAGGAAAAGAAGGAAGGAAAGGAAGAAAAAAAAGGAAGGAAAGGAAGGAAGGAAGAAAAGGAATAAAGAAAGGAAAGAAAGGAAAAGAAAGAAGGAAAGAAAGAAGAAGGAAAAGAAACGAAGGAAAGGAAAAGAAGGAAGGAAAGAAAGAAAGAAAGAAAGAAGGAAGTAAAGAAAGAAGGAAAGCAGGAAGTAAAAGAAAGAAGGAAAGGAATAAAGAAAGGAATGGAAGGAAAGGAAAGAAAGGAATGAAAGGAAGGAAAGAAATAAGGAAGGAAAGGAAAAGAAGGAAGGAAAGAAAGAAAGAAGGAAAGGAAAAGAAGAAAAGAAAGAAAGAAAGAAAGAAAGAAGGAAAGAAGAAAGTAAAGAGAAGAAGGAAGTAAAGGAAAGAAGGAAAGGAATAAAGAAAGGAATGGAAGGAAAGGAAAGGAAAGGAAAGGAAGGAAAGGAAAGGAAGGAAAGAAAGGAATAAAGAAGGAAAGACTAAACAGAAAAGAGGAACGAAGAAGAGATAAAGAAAGAAAGAATGTACGAAAGAAATTAATCAAAAATAGTGATATTTCTGTGAATAAAGCGGATTAAGAGTTTGGTTAAATCCAGTGACTAGAACTAAAGAGTTGAGATTTCTAAAACAAAGCCACAGCAGTGGTGAACCCAAACCTGGAAAGTTGAGTTCAAGAAAAATAACTGAGACATCTGGAAGAGGTATGGCACGTGGGACTAGAGCAAGCTACCCCCAAGGATGAACTAAAGAGTTCGTTTTGATATTCCAATAACCTGAAGAAGACCGGAGCGAACAACGATCGAAACGTTGTGAATATGGCAATGAAGATGAGAATAACAGTCCGAGTAATGTAAATAATGTAAGTAATCATAATACCTCATCTCTAATTTGTAATTTTCATGTTGGGCTGTTCGTTAAAACCGCTCTGGTAACACCTTACATGAGATTGTTAGGGTCGCAGAGTTTAAGAGGAATTTAAACGTTTCAAGTGGACGTTGGGGAAATAGCCCTTAAAATGTCGAAGAAAACTAGTAAGTCGAAACGTTACGGTATCTCCTGAAAATGTTTTGAACAGAGACAAATTTTATCAAATTTTGAAACGTAAGCCACTCTAAAAGATCATTTTGTATTAATTCAGCAGCCCCACCCCAGGACTTTATCTTTGGTTTATTTTGTTTTTAAGTTTCATTAACGACATTTCCGATGGCATCAGCTCTTAATCTGGTATCGATGCTAGTGACACAACCATTTCTCCTGGCTCGTTCGTCAGTCTTATCAGTTCAATGGTGGCTTATGTCCCAGACGACCTACAGTCTGTTGTTAACTGGGACAATGAATGACTTGTCAATTTTAACGCCCCTAAAAGAAAAATTCTCTCTGTCTCAGATATCATCTTCTGTCTTCCATCAACAAGGCTGATGCTAGCCACCGGGAGAGTAACTCGTTGCGCCTGCAAAACCTATTAAACACATTGGTAGGTTAGCTGCTAAGAGATTTGGCTGAATGTGTCGGCATTTTTCTCTTCGGAATATATCTTACATATCTATAAGTCTACCATTCGTCCGTGCTTAGAATATTGCTTTCACATATGGTCCGGTGATCCTGGATATATATATATATAATGATTTTTGATAAAATCCAAAGAAAAACAGCAATATCATTGGATTTCAACTGACGTCTCGTCTTCAGCCATTTCCCCGGCTGCCTTAATGTTGTCTTCCGTTTATAAGGTAATTTATTGGCAGATATCATAGTTTTTAAATTTCAAGGTGACGATTTTGAATGGCTTAGTCTGCGTTATTCTAGACCTTATTAAATTTCCCAGGCAGGAATATTCGTCGAGAAGCCAGATGTGACCTCGAATTGGAGGAAGAAGAGGCCTAATATTCAGTTGAATTTCTTATTGAACTCTGCTGAACATATATATATATATCGAGATCCCAGGTCGCCACCTTCTGATATTTTTGTGTTAATAGGCGCCAAATATATTCGATTGTAAATTATTTTATTCACCTTCATTAAATCGTCTATATTTAACTAAAACCGACATTATTATTTCTTTCTTCGGTGAGAGAATGACTTTATTTTCAATCAATCCAGTCGGCAAGAAGAAGTTTACCACGGCTTATTGACTGAAGATAACTTTTGGTTTCGGTAAGAATCACAACACTTGAAGAATAAAGACTAGACGATTGGTGACTGAAATTGGCACCAATCCTTAGACCAGATTTGAAGCTGTATAATTCTCCTTATCGCATAGCCGTGCGGAGGTTGAGATATCTGAACAAGCGGGGTTCGAACTGAGCGCCTTAATGTCGACGGAAGGCGAGACTAAAACGAGTCCTAGGATGTGCAGGTAAGGGAAGGGTTTATATATTATATATATATATATATATATATATATATATATGTTCAGCGCAGTTGGATCGATTACGTATTCACGTGAGGTATCAGCCAGTTACCACGGGTACCGTGTTGTTCTATATCCTCAGGTAAAGTGCTGTATACCCAATTAGACAGTCCACAGGTCAACACAGCAGCTATCTTCTGAGAAGGAGTAGGAGTGCAATGTCTATTCTGACATGATCTGGGGTGGAATGCATACGACACAACAACCGCTATTTATACATGATCAGGACAAATTCAATTTCTCAGAGACGGTCTGGGTCCCCAGACTGATGGGTCAACAGACAAATACGCAATTGCACACCTGAACGAAGAATGTACCCAATATCCACTTGAATTTCTGATTGAACCTTGGGGAACATATATATCGAGATCACATGTCGTCGACTTCTAATCTTTTTGTGTTAATAGATGCCAAATATATTCGATTGTAAATTATTTTATTCATCTTCATTAAATCGTCTATATTTAACCAAAACCTACATTACTATTTCCTCGGTGAGAGCTTGACTTTATTTCCAGTCAATCCAGTCGGCAAGAAGTTTACCACGGCTTATTGACTGAAGATAACTTTTTGCGTCAGTCGGAATCACAAGACATAAAGAATAAAGACTGGGCGATTGGCGACTGAAACTGGCACCAATCCCTAAACCAGATTTGAAGCTGTATAATTCTTCTTATCTCATAGCCGTGCGGAGGTTGAGATATGCGAACAAGCGGGGTCCGAACTGAGCGGCGTAACAGCGACGGAAGGCGAGACTAAAACGAGTCCTAAGAGGTGTGTACGGGAAGAGAAGGGTTTACATATATATATATATATATATATATATATATATAGATATAGATATAGATATAGGTAGATATAGATAGATAGATAACTATACTCGTTTCGAAAAACCCTCGAATTTTTGATTTGCCAATATTCAAATCAATCTCGAGGGAAAAAAGGTTTTAAAAAAAAGTGAAAGAGCTAGAAACATGAAAGTCTGTCGAAAAAAATCGCACAGACACAGATTTGATGCCCAAAGAAAAAAAACCGATACGAGTAAACAACTAACTAACAAAAAAGCTCAATACAACCGTAGAGCAGACCTAGATAAACCTAGTGAGCCAGAGAAACCTACCCAGGTTTCACCTAAACGGATCGTCAGGGAAAGCCGGTTTTACTTGACGATCTGCTTAGATGAAACCGGGGTAGGTTTGTTTGTCTGGCTCACTAGGTTTATCTATCTATCTATCTATCTATCTATCTATCTATCTATCTATCTATCTATATATATATATATATAACTGGCCACATTCGGGGATACTCGTCTACTATGGCGGCTAGCCAATCCCAATTGCAGAAGCTTGCTCAGGTTTAATCAACACCCACGGGATCCGAACTGAGCGGCTTAACGCCGATGAAAGGCAAGACTAGAAAAACAGGACCTTGCAGACGTGTACGAGAAGAGAGGTGGGGTTATACCTGTGACTTTTTCTATAAATACTTGCATGAAATCTTCAGATGGTACCTAGACTTTATGGATTTAACCGCAGTTACTAAACCGGCAACGTGGACTCATAAATTTACAATTAGTTTGGCTAGAGATAGGTTTTATGCTGACAGTATCTCTTCTCGCACTCCTCGCAGGTGGAACTGTCTTCCGGCTCTATGCTTTTCAGTCAACTTTGACCATCAAAAAATTATGTGCAATGTCAACCGTTATCTACCGTCTTCCTGATTAATCTTCTTAGTAATTTTTCTGTTTTGTAATTCTTACGCAAGCAGTGAGTGGTTTACTCTTCTGTTTGGGGGGGGGATTCGATTTATTTGCTACAGGTTTCATTTTTTTTTGTTTTGTTTCTCGTCCATGATTATTTATTATTACAACAAATGTAAAGAATATTATCGTCCATAGTGCTTGATTTCACACGCGTTGTTTTGGAGGAATGCGTAACGTGTACGTTAATTTATGAAGTGAAAGAATAAACGCATTTTACGTTTCGCTGTGGATATTCCCAACTATGATAACTGCGAAACGTTGTATGCGTGTGAGTAAACAAGATTTATGCGAACGTAAACGAGATTTACACGAACATAAAACGAGATCTACATAACCGTAAACGTGATCTATGTTAATGTTCAAGACAAACGTGTCGAACTCGTGCTTGGCTATGCTATTTTTTTTTTTTTGTATATTCTGGGTTTTATTTAGAAATCCAATTTTCTTTCCGTTTTCTGGGTTTTGTTTTCGATCTCCAGTTTATTCTACATTTTATTTTATTTTATGTCTTATTATTTCATTTAATCTTGCCTTTCTAATTGTATTCATTCTAAATCTTCCGGAAGAAAATACTTTTTGTTGTTGTTGTTGATCATCATCATTATCATCATCATCATCATCATCATCATCATCTTCTTCTTCTTCTTTTTCTTTTTCTGCTTCTTTTTTTCTTCTTCTTCTTTCCTTTAGCTCACTCTTATTTTTCATTTTTCATTAACTTTTTCATTCATAACTTTTACTTTTCTGTCTTCCTTCTTCTTTTCTTCTTCGTCTTCTTTTTTCATTTTCACATTTCATTTGTCTCACTCTTACCTTTCATTTTTATTCCTATTTTTTTTTCATACTTTACTTTGACTCGCATGTTTTCTTCTTCTTCTTCTTTTTCTTCTTCTTCTTCGTTTTTCTTCTTTTTCTTCTTCTTCTTCGTTTTTCTTCTTTTTCTCCTTCGTCTTTCTCATTAATCATCGTCTAGTTTAATATTTATTTTATTCTTTTTGTCATCAATTCATTTTCCTATTATATCTCCTCATTCTTTTTTCTTCTTCTTCTTCTACTTCTTCTTCTTCTTCTTATTATTATTATTATTATTATCATTATTATTATTATTATTAGTAGTAGTAGTAGTAGTAGTAGTAGTTGTTGTAGTAATATTAATAGTAATAATAGCAACAATAGTAGTAGTAATAATGTTAAAACAGTTATGCTTATTCAACTTCTTATTTCCTTTATTTTCTGTTGTATACACATTTCCTCCTGGGTTCTAACAAGAGACCTAAGTTCACAAATGACTTCATGACATTTTCCATTGATCAACTTTGTAAAAAAAAAGATAAGATTACAACCATTTTATATAGATAAAGCTCTTCGTAATATGTCGACTATACTTGTGAGAGCAAGTTTTTGTATTTCTTTAATACATGGGCTACCAAGATTATTATTATTATTATTTGATAAGGGTATACCAAGCATAAGCATTGCACACAACTGTGATCGGCATGGTGAAAAGTTTTGATAAAAGCAGGTCCAGACGGTTAGAAATAACTTCATGGCGGGTAATCATTTCCGCTGATTTAGTTTTAATTTGAGGTTGCTCGCAATTATTTTGATTCAGAATACCAAATCGTCTTGGATGTATCATCTGACAAGACAAAAAAGAAATAACTCTCTCAATTTCCAACAATGAGACACTGCAAATTACTCCCGCCGATAAACAAAGATGCGCCGTGCGTCAGCAACTAGGTAACATGCTCAACTGTTTAACATCAGGCAACGCACAAACAAATCTGTGGTAATGAATTTGTTTTGCTTTGTTTTACAGCATAACAACCTCAATGGGTTATTTAATGCCGACAACATTTTCATTGTTAGCAATATTTTTTTTTTCCAAAAATTTTTTTCTGGCAATATTTTTTCGTTCAAAAAATCTTTCTGGTAATAATTTTCCTTTGCTGGTAATATTTGCTTTTCAAAAATGTATTGCTGGTAATAATTTTTACAAAGTATTTCTGGTATTAAAACCTATTTTTACACGTCATAGTGTTTTGACCCCAGTTTGGGGATTAATTAATAGCCCATAGCTGGGACACTAACAGGTGCTATCACCCCGGGTCAAGGTGGATCAAGGAACACCAACAATTAAGAGGTGGTTCCACGCTTCTCGGAAGCTCCTGATCCGAAGTCTTGCTGTTGAACGTAATTTATCGTCTTACCCAGGACGTGGATGTAGTATATCGTCATACGCAGGACGGTGTGGTAATGAAAGGGATATATACTATAGTCCCCTGTAATATTACTAGCATTAATACTACTAATACTAATACTTCCTGGTCTTCTTATTATTATTACTATTATAAAGCTCTTATATTAACTTACGTCCATATTTTGTTTTTCATTCATTTTTTATCTTTCTAAACATTCTTATTTGATCACTTCAAACTTCTTTTTCCTTTTTCTCATTCACATCTTTTTTTTTTGTTTATCACCAAGTAAGCTAAGACCTCTTCTTTTTTCTTCTTGTCTTCCTTTTTCTTGTCTTCCTTTTTCTTGTCTTCCTTTTTCTTGTCTTTTTTTATAATTCTTTTTCGCTTTACACTTTGAAAGTTTTCTTTTCTTCTTCTATTTCTTTCTTCTCATTTGTTTACACTTCCATTTTCCCATTTTAATTACCGCCAATCTCGCTACACATTTGACAAGTTTTCTGTTCTTGGGAAAGGTATGAATCCACCTGTTCTTCTCCATCTATGGGTTAATTAGTAAGAGCTGTATCACTAAAATATTATTATCGAAAAAATTAAAAATTACCTATAAAATATTTAGATTTCATCATTAAATAATCCATGGCGTTTTATACGCTGTTAACCAAGAACGACAAACCAATCGTTCGTTTTCCTTTTCTCTCTTTTGCTTCTATATTTCTTCTTTTACTTCTTTTGCCCCTTTCTACCTTCCTTGCATTCTTCTTCTTCTTCTTCTTCTTCTTCTTCTTTACTGCTATTTGGCTTTCTTCGCATTATCTCCGTTTTTTTATTTTCTTCTTAATATTATTCTTTCTTTTTCTTCTTCTCCCTTTTCTTCTTATCTTTCTTTTATTCTTCTTCCTCTGCACCTTCTTCGTTTTCTACTTATTATTTACTTATTATCATTGTTTCTTCTTCTTCTTCTTCTTCTTATTATTATTATTATTATTATTATTATTATTATTATACTTTCTTCTTTTTTCTTCTCCGTTTCCTTCTTAATATAATTTCTTCTTATTTTCTTCTTAATATTTTTTCTTTCTTTTTCTTCTGCTTTTCTTCTTTGTTTTCTTCTTATTTTCTTTTTATTATTCTTTCATCTTCTGCTTCTTCCTTTTCGACGTCTTCTTCTTCTTCTTTTTCACTGGTTTCTTCTTAATTTTCTCATTATTTTCTCTTTCTGCTTTTCTTCTCCGTTTTCTTCTTAGTATATCTTTTTTTTTTCTTCGTTTTCTTCTCCCGCTTCTCCTTTTTCTGATAATTGTTCTTTTCTTCTCTTTTTCTTCTTCGTTCCCTTCTTCTTCATTTCTCTTTCTCCTTTCGTCTTCTCCTTGTTTCTTTTTTACAGTTTTCTTCATA